CTGATTGCGCGCTATAACGAAATATTCACAAACTGACGTCACTAGAGAAAACCGAAACAAACAAATTGTAAAAAGGAATGTCCACAACTACCCCCCCCCCCCCCCCCACTACTTCGCACTATTAAGTGTCATGATATATAGATCTGAATCAACGATATCATTTAATGCAGCGTTTTATTAAATTAACTGATCTATGAAAAAGACAGGATCGAGCTTCTATTGTGAAACGAGTGTCGCCTTCCGAGAAGAGGGTGCAAGAACAGACTATATAAGAAGAGGGCCATCACTGTCACTCCCTACAATGTTTTCATCTGCCTTGGCACTTTTTCTTTTTTCTCGGCACTGATATACAGACCTTTATGGCTCTCGCCTACCCATATCATTCAAGCGCTGGTTTTGAAAAATGGCTTCCCGCCAAATGGCGTCTGGTTCGGCCCCTCGTTTTTTTGAAATTGAGCGGGCTTCAAACTACAATGTTGAAAGACTATATGATTCTCGAATCAGTTTTTCATATAGATCAGTGGTGAGATTATTTTTAATGGCATGGTTTCGCTATTTTGCAAATTTTCACAATTTGCTAGATGATATCAGCTTGTGGAATCCAAACACGCTGATGGCATAACCTGGATAACTTGATCGGATTTATCATAATCAGTATTTTTTTGCGAGCATATATTTTGTCATCATAATGCTTCTTCAATGTTTGCCTAAGTATCCATGACATGAAAAACAAACCGTTTTAAACCAGTATTTGTAATATGAGCTACATCTTTTCGGCGCTGTTCCATGAAGGTTGCTTGCAATCCTCCATCATTCAAAACGATAGTGCTTGGCAAAGAGCCTTGTAAGACAGAAAAATGAAATCAATAATAGGACATCTTGAAAAGTCCTTGTCTATGTTTTTATATGAACATAAAAATTTAGCATATGTAAACCAGAAGATTTTTGCATTTGCAGGAGATTTTTTGCAATTGCAAACCAATAATGAACGATCGATCAATTTTTTATCAATTACTCAAAATGTTCAGGTTTTATCTTGTTAACATCTTGCTGGCAAACAAAGTCATTGTCAAAATTAATGAATCTTGCTTTAGCCGATTTGTGCATCATATTTTTAGGAACAACTCATGATACCAATTAACACATCTTTGTATTAAAATTATCACTAAATCTTTAACCCTAGTCATCTCGCAGACATCAATATATGCTTTGCTGAGTGTTCAGTGCTGGAAAACCCAGTAAACCTGCTTTTGGATAGATTTGGTAGAAACGCCCCCAACTTTACCTGAGATAAGAACATTTCCCAGAATCCTATGCTGACAGCACTATGGAATTTTTTTCATCCTTTCTGTATGTTGCAAGATAAAAGGACATCACAGCAATGGTGCACATCGTGTATTCGTTTCACCCTGCCAGTAGGATAACAATGTCACTAATAATTTCACGAACACTGGCGTCGCTCTCAAAGATGAAACGTTATTAAGTTGTAAAAGAGAGCAAAACTTGCATAAAAACGTTTCATCGTTTAGGAAATCGGAAAACTCTCTTTATAAAAGCAGTGGCTGTGTCAAGGTTAGAGGTATGAGGGAGGAGCTACTAATTACATCCCTCGACTTTTATCAAGCATTGCTCATACGATTTTTCTAGAAAGCGATGAAAATGCACGTGGTAGGGGTAGGTCATGTTTTTCTAGATCCTTCTGAGAATAATACACTTACAATTTAAGGACATGATCTCGTTGGCTACACCCATTATCCTCCTACACTGCAGAAGCCGTCACCAATTGGGAACCAAATCCGGGGGCTTATTAGACGTTGGCAGCTTTACAGCCTCGACCCTATTTCTACGCGCGACCCACGGATTTGGTAATGGATTTTCTGCGGATTGTGGCTTCCGCATAAGGTTCGTCTTGCATCTTTCAGTGCAAATTGGTAACGGATTACGGCTTTCAGGATGCGGATGCGTTTTCGCAAAAGTATGCAATCAATAGATGTTGAATAAGATTTGGACCAGCGCAACAGTTTGTTTTGTGAAACAGAGTGAGAACCATAAGGACTTGTAATACAGTTACTTCTAACAATGTTTCCATCTTTTTCCATCGCGGCAGCGTCTATCCACTTTATTTCATTATGGGATGCCGATTTTGGCTGATTTTTGCACGGTTTTGCTGAATTTGGACCCTATGCAAAATTTCTGCGATGCCGCTCTCTATCGTTCGTGCTCTATCGTTTCACTTTCAAGGTCGCAGGTCAAGGTGCTGGTTCAAGTGTAAGGCTGCGAGACAATGTTGTTGTGTTGTTGCTTGCGAATAGGGTGAATCCACCACAGCAACTGAAGTGAGATTGGTATGCCAGAAAATCGCGTCACATTTGGAAGATTTTAACGTCTTTTGTTACTAACATTTGTTTCTCATTGCCAGAGCCGTATAGATTGATTTTGTACGTACATTTCGGCATCATTTCATTGTTCAGACCACGAAAATAAGCTGTTTGTCATGCAGTGGGAACGTCCTAACGGGCTGTTTGGCCGTAGGGATTGCAATGAGACATCTGTCTCTGAAAGCTCAGATTCACGAAAAGTAAACATTGCTTAAAGTCAATGGTTTGAGAACGAATTATACTTGGCAGCATTGCTGCAAGCATCATGCTGTTGCTGCTGCTAGTGCTTACGTTATGTTAAAGATAATAAAAGCGTTTATCTTTGAGATGTATACGATACACAATACTAAAGCCAATTGAAGCCCACAGATAGCTACTGATATTTTCTTTTGAAACTCTCATTTAAATCTGGTCAATAAACAATTTCGACAGCAAAACAAAACAGTGTACTTAGCTTAGGAATACTTACATTCAATACAATCTTGGTTGATTTAATTGGCCAAAGAATCAAAGATCACAGGAAAGTCAGTTTTGATAACATCTTGAGCTCAGTCGTAGGTTGGTTGTCATTGTGATGTATGGTATACAGATTGCAGATATGTTTGTTTCCTAAAATTGCCTGTAATGCTATTTGTATAATGAGTTCTTCCTATTTGTTATGTTGCAAAGGGTGCATAAAAGATGTATAACACTGTTTAGAGTAAATACTGATAAAGTAAATATTTTGAATTCGTTCCAATCGAGGAAGAAATTCTTAATTTAAGGGTCATAAAAAGTATTATAATATACTAATGAAGATATATTTCAAGACAACTTTGCTCCTATGTTATTTTACGTCAAGGGAATTGCCAATAAAATGTTAATAGAGTTCGTAAATGTGACGTCATAAAAAGTGTGACTGCATATCTTAAAAGGACGCCATGAAAAACTTCTAAATATGCGAAATCAGTTGAATGTGTCAAAAACCCGGTGAGGTACGACCAGCTAAAGATTTGAAGTTTGCTATTGGATTGTTGTTATTTTGGCTTGTTCATAAAGTTATCGAGAATTAGCCTATGCTATACCTCAGCCAATTTTTGACACATCAACTGATTTTGCGCATTTAAAGCTATTTCATAATTTTCTTTCGTTATGGAGATCCAAATTACACAATTTCTAAAAAAGAACTTTTTGACGTCATCACTTGATAGCACTTTTTTGCTATCCAGCCAAACGTTATAGAGACCAAGTGACAATCTAAGGTGGGTCATCCCCATCCTTCCAATGCCATATTGTTTATTGAACAGAGAATTTCGTGTATATGCTATTTGTAGGTAAGATTCATTCATTTTTTGCCGAGAAATCTTTTGTAAAAAAGCTCTCAAGGGGTCAAACTTATGTTTGTGGAAACTTGCTGCTGTTTTTAATTTGTTGGTAATTCAACAAATCAGTTGTTGATATTGCTTCTAAATGTATAGTGGAGAAAAACATCATAGTTTGGCGTATTTATTCAGGATGACGCGGGAGAAAATTGAACATTCATATCACGGTAGAAAAATTCCATTACTTTTAAGAAGATATGAGGCTGTCCTCTATGTAACGAATGCTGTAACGAGT